GTAAAAATATGCTGAAGTTGCAAATGACAAGATGGTTTTCGATGGTCTTGAGTGAGTGAGTTTAGTTTTACACCTCTTTTAGCAATGTTTCAGCAATATCACGAGGGGGACACCAGTAATGGGCTTCACACATTGTACCCATGCGGGGAATGGAACCAGGACCTTCGGCGTGTCGAGCGAACGCTTTAACCGGTAGGCTACCCCACGGCCTCCCGAAGTGCTTCAACCGTGTTGTAAACCTTCTTAGTTGTTGTATGTGGCACATCCGAACATTGTAACAGTAATAAGCATATGTGACGTCTTTGTTTAAACGTGCTATGATTATGTAAGGAATGGACAGTTGGTTGTGATTTATTCATTGTCGTTTTACCAGGATATCGATCGACTTACACATCCATTAGATGAGACTATTTTCTGTTCTGATACTCGACTGAAATGACTTAAATGTTAATGTGTCGCCAGTAGGTCTAGAACCAATATCGTGTCATTTGAAGGCGTGTACTTGCTTATCAGGGATTAGAATTACGAATCACCATACTTGTTGTATTTGGTGGTGTGGCAATAAACGAGCTCTAAAGTTTCATTAAACCAATGAGCACTTGCATCCTATGCCAGTTTCTTCGGCTATATGCCGTGCTTAGTAGTAATAGCCCACAAGGTACGTGCATATACAACTACATCATTCTTGAGCAAAACATATTATGATCTGTATATAAAATATTGCAATAAGGCTTATCCCAAATATTTTAAATGTCTATAAGATTAACCATAATTATTAGAACAGATGAATGAAAGTAGTTATTAATTTCGCTTACCTTTTACTTCTTTTACTGCTGTATATAATGCACGCCGTCCCCTGGCACGTGACGGAATCTCCACACATGTGATCACTGCAATGCAACACAGAATCACCACACAGTTGACAGGATTCATACTGAAGGTAAGTTTTCGATCAGTCTGCCCTCAGCGACGTCGGGTACTACTTTTATTACCAGACATGCAAACATGTGTAAATATACATTGAGAGTTTCCAAAGCAGAGAGTTTTAATCTATACAGCTACACAAAAAGCCGGATGGCGAGAGACACCTGGGTATTGTCAGTGCTCAATGAATTTTGAATATATTGAATTTGTCCCCCACTGGGTGTGGATTATTCGGCTGTTCGACCGTGAGTAATACGGGCGTTTTGACATACGTAGAAGTAGAAAGGGAACGAAGCTGGTTCGTTCATATAACGAGACTGTTCATGTCTTTAACGACTAGAGACTGATTTTGTAAAATGTTCCTTCAGCTCTTTTTTTATGAACCGGCTCTCAGGTTATTTTGATATCACGCTTTCTCTCACACTGGGGATACCATGCACCTCCACGTCATAGAGATAAACTGTGTGTCAGAGGTAGTTGTGTTCATATGTGTCTGAGCGTAAAGCCGTATCTATAGGAATCATACACCAAGTCTATATTGTTCCAAACCGGAAACGTTTACAGCATATCTATGCGATACGGATAAGTATGTTCGAGGTAGCTGTGTATACATTTGTACGTGTGTACACATGTACCACCGTTATACATCTGTAGTGAGTGAGTGAGTTAATTACTTTTATGCCACAAGGCAATATTCCAGCTATATGATGGCGGCCTGTTAATAATTGAGTCTGGACCAGACAATCCAGTGATCAACAGCATGAGCATCGATCGACGCAATTGGGATACGATGACATGTGTCAACCAAGCCAGCGAGTCTGACCACCCGATCCCGTTAGTCGCCCCTTACTCTACAACTGTATATGTTAAGCATTAACTATACCAGCTATTTAAACGTAACCAAGCAAGGATGTTCTCTACAGCAATGCCTATCTTCCACTGCAAAATTTTACCAATCCTTCTTTATGGCTCCGAGATATGGGGAAGACTATACAATGAAGCAATTGAAAAGGTCCATACCGCATTCCTTAAACGATTCATATCTGTTGGGAAATTTGCATCAAACAAAGCAATATTGGGTGAAACAGGTCGCTGCAGTGTGTTTGTGTATACCAGCATGAGAGTAGTCAAATACTGGTTGAAACTACTACGACTGGACTCCTTTAGATAACCAAGGCAGAGCTATCTTCTTCTTAAATCTTTAGACGATAATGGAAGACATAACTGGGTGTCGGAGGTTAGATCTCTGCTCTTTTCAACAGGTTTCGCATGGACTTGGTTATCACAACAGGTTGGTGACGAGAAGCTATTTCTCAGCACTTTCAAACAAAGGTTACAGGATATCATTATCCAGGATTTGCATTTGTCTGTTTCTACCTCAAGTTATCTGTCATTATACTCTGGATTTAAAACTGATTTTAACACAGAAACATATATTACCTGTCTCGAAGACAAGTCTTTGGTACGTGCATTCTGTGAATTCAGAATAGCATTGAACAATCTGAAGGTAAATGCATACAGGAAGGAGAAACAACAGTACGACTATAACATCTGCTGTGAACATTGCATGGATCCCGACATCGAAGATGAAGTTCACATATTATTTTCCTGTCCAAAATATTCTGCACTCCGAATGAAATATTTACCTTGGTTAACTTCTGTTGTGCCAAACAATTGTAACTTCATCAAACTTATTTCTTCACAAAATCTCCAACATCAAATTACTATCATTATATTTGAAGCATCTATTTAATGCACGCCGTTCTTAATTATAAGTTTTGTTTAATATATCACATCCACGTGACAAAATAATATGTTCTGGTGTAATTGCACCTTAGGTCATAGGGCCTGTAGTATTGAATAAACGAGTCTGAGTCTGAATCTGTATATGTTAAAGTCAGTTGTGTCCATATGTGTCGGGGTCTACACGTCAACGTGTGCCAGTTTCATACATCTGCGTATGTCAAAAGTACTTGTATACACATGCATCTGTGTATGTGTCGCCTTGACAGCATATATAGGACGAAAAGGCGTGTGATTATAACTCCTTCGTTCGGAACGCATACATAACTGTTTGCATGGATCTTTACGTCAACATAGCTAAGTGGCAGGAAGGTTGCTATTCATCTCTATGAATGTTATTTATAACGCCATTGTGATATATGCGTCAGTATTAAACCAGGAAGTTCGACAACGCCGGGTAATGCATTGACCAATCTGAATAGAGATTATGGGACATCTGAGTTTGTATGTGTGAGTGAACGATAGGATACCTTAATACTGTCACAGTAATCTTCGGGCGTATATTCTGGGCTGAACTTGTGTGTAACATTACATACAGTACAGGCCCTTTAAGAATAGGTTGACGTTCATTGAGCAGTTTGGAATACAGACAGCTTTCAGCAAAAGAACATTTTTCTGGCATAATAAATCACACATTTCATTTACACATGAACTAGCATGATGGATTTCTCAGCTCATGAGCATGGACTTACATACGCCTACATTGCAGTTTCCAGCAATGTACTAACAAAACCTTTAAACAAATACTAGGTCTAATCAGTTTTTGGGGAACATAAAACACAAGTTCGAATTACACATGCTGATATTGACAAATTCCATGGATGTAAATGACAGTAAAGCAATGTCCAGGCAAAAGTTAAAGCAGAAAGTAAATCTCTAATCTGTGGGACCTTTGTTTTATTTTACCATGTTATGTAATGGGTGTGTTGATAACATTAATATCTCAATATTCCGATACCTTCATGGGTAATTGCTGGATGTCTTGTTCAAAGCTGGGAGTAGAATACCTAGACAAGTAGGCAGTATCCCCATGGGTACTATTTGTGTCCTGTTTCGCATATGAATATGATTAAATTGTTTACTCCGTTTTGTTAATCAAAGAAAAGACACGTTGCCAAAAGGTTAAAAACTGAGATGTCCATATGACCTCATTTATTTTGATAAACAATGTCAATATTAAGAAAACCCTTCGATTAATCCGTCAGGTTGGACATCTGAGAAACAACAAGAAAAACATATCAAGTGTCAAATCCTCATTTAATTTATGCATAGACATAGTTATTCCAATCATGGCGTTCCCCTCATATCGAACAACACGCCGTCCATATTTCTCAGTTGCTCTGAAACTTAAAGAACATTACATGTTGTTGAAATTGCATGAAATGCAAACAATGGCATTGTCATCGGACGGCGTGGATCAGTCTTCATTACATCAGTCACTGGCTTTTGCACTGGGTTTTAAATCCACCATCTACGGATAGTGGAGTACGCTTTATGGTCTGCACACATGTAGGTTAATGGTCCTTTATTTTATAGACACATATACATTGATATCTCACACATAGTTACAATATGTACAGCTGGACAGGGTCTCATAATAAATTACACCATGCACTCATTCACAGATACCTCAAAAGTGTCTGGATAGGTACATTTCTAATAGACTGTCATATCCCATATATCGTCAAGGTGCGGAACACATATGATATTATTCTGCAGATCCATGTGTAATAGTTTGTCATGTTACACAGAGGAAAACAGTCACTTCAGGGACATGGACAGGAAACATATCTACGTGAACACTGTCTCTTTTTGAAACATACCATCTTTCCATGTGTCTTTATGGCCAACCCTTAAGACAGATCTGACCATGTCCAGGACAGTTATTTTTGCAAGTGCCATTTTCACTAACCGACCATTGTATTACCTCCCAACTTATTACCTGTATAGGAATTGAAAGGGTCTTGTAGCTTTCATTTCTATTATTCACAAATTTGTCTTGATGTTATCTGTTTAAAGTGCTTGTTTATTCCAATATACAACATGCTATCAGGCTGTATTTTGAAATAAAATCCAAAGGTGCATGGCATGTGTTTAGAAAATAGGTTTCCATTTTAAAGATGACATGGTAATACAAGCAGGAAGTCAAACTTAGCATTAATAAAGCCGATCCTTGAAACTAAGAAACATGATATCTAGGTGGTAGTTAGATAGCAAATAAAACACTAGAAGGCATTGAAATACATATATGCATTAGAATTCATGGAAGTTGTGAAACACACGCATCTGGACTGCCTTATCTATTGCCAAGGCTTGGTAGCACCTGCTATCTTTCGGCACCACAGAAGAAGGGCACTTTACCCTCCTACAACAGGGAAACAGTTAACATGACCATGGATATGTTCTTGTGTTTATTTGGACTGGCTTGGATACAGCCGTTTACTGTGTCCCTGCACACCGAACATATCAGAGTAAAAACTAACCACGTGTTGCATGTGATAGATGACATGTTTGTCGGGGTTAACATTGACAGCGGACGGCTGAGGTACAATCTGAAGTTTCACAATGTAAGGTAGGCATAACATCTGTGCAAACATGTCTGTTCATTCTGTTACATAGATTACGTTACTTGATAGATGGGGTTGTGGGCAGGTCCTGTTGATGGGTGGAAATGATTGAACATATATTTTAGGGTCAATAGAATCCATATTAACAAAATGCGACAAAATGCGATGACTAACATAATTTTTGTCAGTTATATGTGAACTTTAGTGACCTTCTCTACACGCCTACCCTAAAACTTTTGGCGGTCTTTGAAAGAGACTGCTCTACTGAACACTAAAGTTGTGAAATTTAGACACCAAAGGTTAGAACTGATAAAATGTTGCTAGACAAAAAGCGAAAAACCGAAGTCATCATTCTGGTTATAGATCCACATCAATAGGTTATGGATCCACATCGATAGGTTATGGATCCACATTGATAGGTTATGGATCCACATAGATAGGTTATGGATCCATATAGATAGGTTATAGATCCACATAGATAGGTTATGGATCTACATCGATAGGTTATGGATCCACATGGATAGGTTATGGATCCATATAGATAGGTTATGGACCCACATACATAGGTTATAGATCCACATAGATAGATTATGGATCCACATAGATAGGTTATAGATCCACATAGATAGGTTATGGATCTACATAGATAGGTTATGGATCCACATAAATAGGTTATGGATCTACATAGATAGGTTATGGATCCATATAGATAGGTTATAGATCCATATAGATAGTTTATTTATCCACATAGATAGGTTATAGATCAACATAGATAGGTTATGGATCCACATCGATAGGTTATGGATCCACATTGATAGGTTATGGATCCACATAGATAGGTTATGGATCCACATAGATAGGTTATGGATCCACATAGATAGGTTATGGATCCACATAGATAGGTTATGGATCTACATCGATAGGTTATGGATCCACATGGATAGGTTATGGATCCATATAGATAGGTTATGGACCCACATACATAGGTTATAGATCCACATAGATAGATTATGGATCCACATAGATAGGTTATAGATCCACATAGATAGGTTATGGATCTACATAGATAGGTTATGGATCCACATGGATAGGTTATGGATCCATATAGATAGGTTATGGACCCACATACATAGGTTATAGATCCACATAGATAGGTTATAGATCCTCATAGATAGGTTATGGATCTACATCGATAGGTTATGGATCCACATGGATAGGTTATGGATCCATATAGATAGGTTATGGACCCACATACATAGGTTATAGATCCACATAGATAGATTATGGATCCACATAGATAGGTTATAGATCCACATAGATAGGTTATGGATCTACATAGATAGGTTATGGATCCAAATGGATAGGTTATGGATCCATATAGATAGGTTATGGACCCACACACATAGGTTATAGATCCACATAGATAGGTTATAGATCTATATTGATAGGCTATGGATCCATAGAGATACGTTATGGATCGCATAAGGTTATGGATCCATATAGATAGGTTATGGGTCCACATAGATAAGTTATGGATCCATATAGATAGGTTATGGATCCACATAGATAGGTTATGGATCCACATAGATTATGGATCACACAGATAGATTATGGATCCACATACATAGGTTATAGATCCATATAGATAAGTTATTGATCCATATAGATAGGTTATAGATCAACATAGATAGGTTATGGATCCACATAGATAGGTTATGGATTACATAGATAGGTTATGGATCCACATAGATAGGTTATGGATCCACATAGATAGGTTATGGATCCATATAGATAGGTTATAGATCCATATAGATAGGTTATGGATCACATAGATAGATTATGGATCCACATACATAGGTTATAGATCCATATAGATAAGTTATTTATCCATACAGATAGGTTATAGATCAACATAGATAGGTTATGGATCCACATAGATAGGTTATGGATCACATAGACAGGTTATGGATCCACATAGATAGGTTATGGATCCACATAGATAGGTTATGGATCCACATAGATAGGTTATGGATCCACATAGCTAGGTTATGGATCCACATAGATAGGTTATGGATCCAGATAAATAGCTTATAGGTCCAAATAGATAGATTATGGATCTACATCGATAGGTTATGGATCCACATGGATAAGTTATGGATCCATATAGATAGTTTATGGATCTACATACATAGGTTATAGATCCACATAGATAGGTTACAGATCTATATTGATAGGCTATGGATCCATAGAGATACGTTATGGATCACATAAGGTTATGGATCCATATAGATAGGTTATGGATCCACATAGATAGGTTATGGTCCACATAGATAGGTTATGGATCCATATAAATAGGTTATGGATCCACATAGATAGGTTATAGATCCACATAGATAGATTATGGATCACATAGATAGATTATGGATCCACATACATACGTTATAGATCCATATAGATAAGTTATTGATCCACATAGATAGGTTATAGATCAACATAGATAGGTTATGGATCCACATAGATAGGTTATGGATCACATAGATAGGTTATGGATCCACATAGATAGGTTATGGATCCACATAAATAGGTTATGGATCTACATAGATAGGTTATGGATCCATATAGATAGGTTATAGATCCATATAGATAGTTTATTTATCCACATAGATAGGTTATAGATCAACATAGATAGGTTATGGATCCACATAGATAGGTTATGGATCACATAGATAGGTTATGGATTAGGTTATGGATCCACATAGATAGGTTATGGATCCATATAGATACGTTATGGATCCACATAGCTAGGTTATGAATCCACATAGATAGGTTATGGATCCAGATAAATAGCTTATAGGTCCAAATAGATAGGTTATGAATCACATAGATAGGTTATAGATCCAGATAATTAGGTTATAGATCCAAATAGATCGGTTACATATCCACAACAACACAAATACACAAGAATCACTTTCTTTACATAGCTTGAGTTTTCTTTAGAGTGTTTTGTCACAATGAATCTTATGCAAAGATCTAAAAGTGATAGAGATGAGGATGTCCAACTGGTCTCCTCGATTTCTAGTTCACTTTGGTAAATCAGTGGTAAATCCGTGGGAGCCGTGCCAATTAACACTTATCAGAGGGGTACACAAAGGCCGCAGCCTAGACTACCAGTTGTCCAACTTCCATTTTTGTGGAAGTCGCGTTAGCTGAGCGGGTTAGGCGGTTGATTTACGTGGTAAATTACGTGGTAAATTACGAGGAGAATTTCGATTCATGTGTATAATGAAACAGATCAGCCACAAGGGAAAAACACTAAGTACACTGCTTACTAACGAATTCCACTTCCAAATTCAATATAGATATTATGAACAAGGGAACCAGTCATTTCAAATATTGGGTTTTAATTCATGACGTTTGCTTTCATTTTTGGGTCTAGGTTTCCTGAATAGCTAAAACAAATGAAATGTACACAATATTTAAGTGAAGTCATGCTTTTTCTCATTGATTGCCTTTCTGTCCAGCTTTATCATTGACCGCTCAATGATCAAATAGCAAGTTTCACCCCCTCGTTGCTCCAAAACGCTGCAAGTAATTGCTATGTGGGTGTAAACTCCAAATCACTTGAGGACAGTAATTTGACTACCAGTGCATTTTGTTGAGCCTAAAAATATGTTTTTATCAACAGCTCTCCCAAACTGCTGGCCCTTGGAAAAGCTTTAGCACCCGGGTATCTGAGAGTCGGGGGCACATCAGGGGACTACATGGTGTTCGACCCGACTCACGACATTGCTACTGGACAGCAGTTCCAGCTCCGAGGTGATAGCTGGATAGGATAGTTATATCTTCCAAAATGAACAACAATAAACAAATATATACAACTTTAATTCAATCCACTACCGACTACTGTGCTGATACAAACAAGTCCAGATCGGACAATAGTTTGGAATACATGTAGCATCATTCCATAAAACTGGGCCAACGTCTGGAAACCCCGTCTTCCGACCATTACTAGTGAGGACTGTCATATGTCTAGATAGGAACATGACTACGTTCCCAAAATTCAACAATCCTGACATTTGTCGACGGATTTCTTGATTCAAATCCGCCACGCTTCAAAATGCATTGTTTGGTTGGCCTCATTGTTTTAACATATATGAAACCATATAGTTTTAGACAGATGCAAATCCGAAACATATATTTTCAGCAACGACCTGGGATGATCTCAACATGTTTGTTCAAAAGATTGGACTCAAACTGGTGATTGGTCTTAACCTAATGCTCCGTGACGGAACAAAGTGGAACCCATCAAATGCTAAGCTGTTGCTCAAATATTCCTCTGACAAAGGGTATCCTTTTGCCGGGATTGAACTGGGAAATGGTAGGTTTGAAGCCATATATATGTCACATCTATCACAGATAATTTAAAAAAATTGAAATATAGTTGTTTGGAATCCGCACAGAACAGGTCCACAACAAGAAAAAGATACGTAATCAGGCTGGATAATTTCGTTCATACGTGCCACGTATCCTATTTGGGCGTTAAACAATAGACGGTCACATCGTATTATTACTGAATTATCTGCGTCTTTTCACACTAACATTGAATGCAACACCCTTAAAACATTAAGAATGATATGAATATAATTTGTATATTAGTTCCCTTCTCCTTGATGTACCATACTCTGTGTGTAGACAGGATCCCTTGTTATTCGTAATGCATAATTACCGTCGTATGTTTTGTCCATGAAGCACCAAACTTTTATTACCGACAATGGAATACAACTGTCAGTGAAGCGCAACTGGCCAGTGACTTCAAAGAGTTAAAACAAGTCCTCCAAGGAACGGCCTATAAGTCTAGTCTAATCCTCGGACCTGACGTGGCCAGTTATGAAGACAAGTTTTTAAACAAGTATGCATTAAATACACATTTCATACGCTACACTTGGGAGTATGGTGCTGATAGCCCCAGTGCTAGAATGTTGTTTTACAAACTGAACCACCTCTGTGCTTACTATGGTATGTTAGTCTCACCCTTTGTGTCAAATCTAAAGCATTCATTCAATAACTGACATGGGAGCACGAGTGTGTCAATCCCTTGAGTTGCATCCTTGAGGTTTGGATTTACCTTGCCCCAGCTTAAACGCCTGAAACCTGTGTCCCATCTGTCGTTCCTCATTATTCCAAGCGGCGTTAAACCATTCGGTAGCTTTTATCTTTTCACACATCAGATAAACGGTTTCCACAAACACGAATGTGGTAAATGCAAGTGATACCTTCCTCGATACCCTCTTGTCAAATGTGATCATGCAATTCCAGCTTCCTGACCGATGGCGGAGCCAGTGCCGTAGACGTCCTGACCGTCCATCAGTGAGTATCGTCCTTGGGTGGCAGGGTATCAGGGACGTGGACGTCAATGAATCATTCATGTCATTATGGATGATCCAGTAGCATCGGGTCTTGGGGTAGCCAAATTAAAGCATCCGTTCGTCCCGCTGAAGACCCGGGTTTGATTCCCTACTTGGTATAATGTGTGAAGCCCATTTCTAGTGTCCCTCTCTGCGATATTGCTGGAATATTGCTAAAAGCGGCGCAAAACCATACTCACTCCAGCAGCAACCGTGGATTACAGCGAAGACATATTTGCCGAATAATGGATATATAGTAGCAGCGGGATGGTAACTGATGCTTATAGTGGACGCCGAACAGAAATGAGTAGATCACCAATCACTTTGTGTAACACACTTCAATAACAGGAATATATACAAAATAATAAGAGGAACAAAAATAGAAAGGAACGATTGTTTGGCTGGTTGTTGCGTGTACCTTAATACGGTTAGGACGTTTTGTGTTAGATTTTATTCTTTTCAGTTACTACTTTAATGGAAACACAGCGAAACTCGAAGACTTTTCTGACCACTCTATAATGGACCGTCTTATATCCGAAGTTCAAACAGTGGTGGGTATGGTGCGAAGCTATCATGGCCTGGTGGCGTGGCTAGGGGAAACTTCTTCTGGCTATGGAGGCGGCACTCCTGGCATTGGCAATAGATATGTGGCAGGCAATCTGTGAGTATTTTAGCTATTCAAAGGGTGTTTGTTTAACGTTTTCTTTTCAAACAGTTTCATGCTCAGAGTAGATTTGTTTATAAGAAGAGCCTGTAATCAGAAGTAGAAAGCAACGTGGGAACGTCAAGTAGAACGCCTTGAATGAAGGGCCAGCATATGTTGATTTAGAATTCGATTGCTAATAAATATTTCTTAGATGGTGATTACTGATGCGTTCAGTTCTGCAGAAACACCAGGACTATTTTGAAAATATTGGGATTCAACTTTAAGACATTGTTCTGTAAAAGTTTACGCGGGTAGGATATACCATTGATGATGACGTCTTCGGTGTCTGTGCCACAATTATCGTCCAACTGTTTTCTTCTTTTCTATACATGGTTTGTTAAGAAAGGATTATTAATCTAATACTGTGAATTTGTTCAAATTCTTAGGTGGCTTGATAAACTGGGAGTGTCAGCAAAATATGGTATAAAAAGGGTCATGCGTCAGTCATTCTTCGGAGGGCATCACTCACTTCTTGATGACAACAGCGACCCTACTCCCGTGCGTGAACGCATGTTACGTTAATATATTATCATGTCATATTAACAGCTACAAAATGTCATTATGTCGGAGGGGCGTTTAGGTAGCCTAGTGGTTAAAGCGTTCGCTCGTCACGCCGAAGACTCGGGTTCGATTCCCCACATACATACAATGTGTGAATCCCATTTCTGGTCTTCCCCACCGTGATATTGCTGGAATATTGCTAAAAGCGGCGTAAAACCATATTCACTCACTCACTTACTCATTATGACGGAATTCCATATCATGATAGGTGAACAGTACCTTGTGCTTATAGGCCGTATGTAGTGACCAAGGCCTTCGAGGTAGTCTCTCATGGATCATCCTGTTTCGACCATCGCGACATCAACTACATTCGTTTTGTTTGTTTGTGCTGTATGTTGTTGCTACACCCAGCGATATACCAGCTGTATGAAATGTAGTAAATTACCGAATCTGGACCAGACTATCCAGTGACTGACATGATGAACATCGATCAGCACTATTGGACTACGATAACATGTGTCAGCCATGTCAGCGAGGCTGACCACCCGATCTAATGATTTGCCTCTTACGACAAGCATGGGTTGCACTAAACAATATCGTGTAATGACACCATGATTTCATTTACCAGGACTATTGGTTGACGCTTCTTTACAAGAGACTTGTTGGCAACAAAGTATTTGATGTTCCATCCTCATCGGACAACATCCGACTATATGCCCATTGTACGAAGCTTAACAAGTGAGTTCACAATATAAACTGTATTCACAACCTGGTCAACATTTCCCAACAATGCACACTGCACAACAGTTTGGTCATAGATTACCATTAATCACCTTGAGAAAGCATTTTATCAAAGTCCAAATATACACACAGTCATTGCAATTTGAATCATTTTAGAGCTATGCCAGGTACTGGCAGAACAACAGCTGAGTGTCCGTGATTTTCAGGAAGGAATGTTTTGGTCTGATTGGTACGTATCATAAATATCGAATTCGACTTAAGACGTTACAGAGATGTAATGCCTATATGTGAGATTCCCGTGGGTGGCATCTGGATCTTTGCATAGCTAGCAACTATGTGACGTCATCAAAACAAATGACGTCACTTAAATCATTATGACATCATGCCCTTACAAGTCATTCATATGATATTTTCAAAAATGAATGAATTGACTAGGTTTCAAGGAAAGTAATACTAATAATCCTACATATTGACATCACTTTTCATGTTTCAGCGTATATAACTACAAGCCTGGAAGCATCACAGTGTATGCCCTCAACTTGAATAAAGACCCCGTACTCCTGACTATATCGGATCTGAACATCAATAGCATGGACAGATTCTGGCTGACTCCGGAGGGAGGAAACCTTACGTCAACGTTTGTATATCATATGTTTTCTTTCAACTCTAGAGCTTATGGACTGTGTCCGTGTTGCAAAGCCATCAACAACCGGTTTAAATAATGAGGATAAAGTTGAGAGGCATTTGCCTCAAAAGCAACTCTTGACGCAAGAATCTGTAAAATGACCTACGACAAACTTTCTTCTTTGATGGACATTTTAGAAGTTGAGTTGATAAAGAATGATGACAATTGTTATAGATATACAACTTTTTTATTCTGTGAAGGGTGAAGTTTCGACATAGATGCCGTTGTCAAGCAAGTGATGACAACGACAACGCCTTTCACAGAATAAAAGAAGTTGTATATCCATAACAATTGTCATCATTCTACGACAAACTTGTTCACACATGCTATAGTTGCAGGACATCTGTTGGATCCACAGATGATCAAGAAGAATAAGCAGACCAACCAGGTTTTATATTCTTTCCAGAAAAGTCCAACTCAATGGCAACACTCTGGAACTTGTCAATAACCAAATACCACACATGATGCCAAGATCTGTTGGAAGTGGGACAATGAAAGTACCCGGAAACTCATTCGGCTTCATCGTCATCCCTGACGCCAACATCGCGGCATGTCAATCACAAGGCCACGGTACCATTGTCGGATAGCCATCTGAAAATTGTAATAAAATGTTTACAAACTGCCATGATGGTTGTCTTTTGGAATGTAGACGCGTTAGGTGGCCTTTGAAATATCTTAATTTTGATAACATCCTCTATTACTAACTTCTATTTACAAGTTTCAGTTAATCTACATGTTTCCCCGAGTGGAATTAGACAGGAAACACAACACAGGGTTATTTAATTATACAGTTATATTCATCCCTGAAACGACTTCACACTGTGCAAATACAACAGTATGTGTTTGAATAAATGGTTGGAAGGTTTAGAAGGTTCTTAAGTTCATATAATATGGAATAAACTGCTCCAAAAGGAGGCTTTCTTATGCTCTCACACTGTAGCATGGTACGAACCGATCTTAGGGTTACACGTTTTAAGTTTAAAATCACCTCTTTACAAGATATGTGGAATAGAGTTACTTTTGCATCCTTAGACCAGGAAGATCATGGCTATGCGACAGTTAAGCTGTTGCCTAAATGATTCTTCAACTCAACCCCCTGCACCAACGCGTCTTATCACCAGTAAAGCTCCACATCGTCAACACATATTTAACATTTGTTTATACATTGAACGCCTTGTTCGAATTCACTCCCAACGAAGGCAAGGGCTGACGTTTGAAAGTATATTACCACGTACTTTTACTTCGCTACCGTGTGTTCGGTGCTCATTGAATACATGGCTAAAGTGTGGTGATTAAGTGATCTTCAGGTAACATTTGTAGATCATTCAGTTGGACAAAAAAACAACAACAATAAAAAACACAAAAAGAACCCTGACTGATGGACAGCGTTGCAACACGAACATATTTAGATCTCCAGATTTGTTACAGACTGCCATCTCATGACGGTACTGCTGGGATGGGTCAGGCAAGAAAGACTTTCATTCGACGCAGATGGTCTGAGTGAGGGACAGAAACTACATGCTTCCTTTTTGGGGCGAACACCTGGTGTCATTACGGATTTTCAGTGATCCGTTCCTATATGTTCACCTTGATTTTGCATTATAGGCATACTTGTTTCGGAGAATAATCGAGACTTTGCATGTTGTAATCATCAATTTAGGCCAGCTAGACTGACATGAAGACAGGAGACGGTTATACATATCATTAGTGAATTGCCGCTTCTCCAAACATCTTTGGAAATGTGTGTTATTTATTGATGTACAATGAACAAATCTTAATACATCAATCCCGTCCTGAGAAACAGCACACACAATAACAAATCAGTTTGAAATGCTTGGATAAGTTGCATGCTCATTGAATACATGGCTAAAGTGTGGTGATTAAGTGATCTTCAGGTAACATTTGTAGATCATTCAGTTGGACAAAAAAACAACAACAATAAAAAACACAAAAAGAACCCTGACTGATGGACAGCGTTGCAACACGAACATATTTAGATCTCCAGATTTGTTACAGACTGCCATCTCATGACGGTACTGCTGGGATGGGTCAGGCAAGAAAGACTTTCATTCGACGCAGATGGTCTGAGTGAGGGACAGAAACTACATGCTTCCTTTTTGGGGCGAACACCTGGTGTCATTACGGATTTTCAGTGATCCGTTCCTATATGTTCACCTTGATTTTGCATTATAGGCATACTTGTTTCGGAGAATAATCGAGACTTTGCATGTTGTAATCATCAATTTAGGCCAGCTAGACTGACATGAAGACAGGAGACGGTTATACATATCATTAGTGAATTGCCGCTTCTCCAAACATCTTTGGAAATGTGTGTTATTTATTGATGTACAATGAACAAATCTTAATACATCAATCCCGTCCTGAGAAACAGCACACACAATAACAAATCAGTTTGAAATGCTTGGATAAGTTGCATGCTTACTGCACTCGCAGAATGAGAATTTGGTACTACAGTGTGTACAATATTGACGATACATCCCATACATCCGATACATCCCCTTTGGTGTCATGTAGGGTTACTTTGACTAAAAGTAGAAGTACGATTTACTGCATAACGATTTACGAATAATACTTGTCTGGCGTTTGCATGTGTCGTCAGTATGTAGTCAAATTAATTACAAACTAGCCTGCAAACAGCATGTAGCTATGGAAGAGGGAGCAATATGGTTCTTACAGCATTTACAGTCTACTGTTGTAGCAAGGACTTGCATCTAGAACACACAAGCTTATTAATGTTACTTTTACAAAATTAAGTGAGACAACAGAACACAAACACGCAAAAGGAATGTGCAAACTAACTGGTTAAAAGCTGTGACGAAATATTTGGTAGGCGTTTAAATAGTGCTAAAGGAGAATCCACTAGTGGTCGATTGTGACCCAGTGCAAGCTGAGTTCATGTGTTCTGTATATTCGACAATGGGCTTTGTCGACTCGACACAAGCTTGCATGGGAGAATATTTTCGATCGTCCAGGAAAGTTTTATTTGCAGATTTTGCACTGTTAGACTCAGCGTCATCACTTTTCAAAGTGTTTAAACTCACCTACAACATAAATGTAAAGTGTATCTTTGTCATATTAAGGATAGGTCGTGTGTCTACATATTTCCAAATGTTATCGGGACTTGATTTTTCTCAGTTTCACATTTACGTAATAAAACTAAGATAAGATACCAAAACAGATACACACAAGCCCAGTTCTTGACCAAAAGTCTAGGCATAATCTTAATCATCTCAATCATACATGTGGCTCCATCTTCTTATCAATTGTCAGGTCTTGGTGGCACCTGCTGTTTGCCCAAACCGAAGTGAACATAGGAGGTATATATCTCAAAATGAAGTAACGGTGAAAATGTTCGCGGATATCATGATCTTGTGTTTATTTGGACTGGCTTTGATACAGCCGTTTACTGTGTCCCTACACACCGAACATATCAGGGTGAAAACTAACCACGTGTTGCAGGTGATAGATGACATGTTTGTTGGCGTCACCATCGCCGGCAGTCAACTGAGGTCTAATCTGAAGTATCACAATGTCAGGTAATAAAACATCGGGGCAAATATGTCTGATTGGTTTGTTACTTGGTTGACGGATTTGTTTGCAAATCGAGGTTCCGGATGAAAATATACATTTATATCCACAAATAAATGCCATGAACACTTTCCACAGTAGAAGTCTGGATTGTATCATGAACATTATGAAATAGAGATGATACCAGGTCGGGTGCATTCTGGTCCATCAGCGGCACTTGTCAAAAAACGGTGCGAAGTAAAGTCAGTTATTCGTCTGTGAACATATGGTGCAAGTATAAATAGGGAATACCATAAGACGTTTAGACAGCTTTACCGGGGCCTTTTAACCTGGACAAAACACATTGTGAATAAAACGTCTTGTGACGTTCTTTGTAATCTTGGTAAGAATAGCCTGTAGGGACTACATTCATCCAGGGAATATAGCTTGATTATTACCATGGTTCAAGAAGCACACAAAACGTGTTTGTTTTAACAGTTCTCCCAAACTGCTGACTCTGGGAAAAGCTGTAGCTCCAGGGCATCTGAGAATCGGTGGCTCGTCACTGGACTACATGGTGTTTGACCCGACCCACAACATTGCTACTGGAGACCAGTTCCAGCTCCCAGGTGAAAGCTATAAAACATTGTTCCATCCTTCTAGCAAACACCTTCACCAATGAGTCCCCTTTTGAAAGACAGATTTCATGTTTCTGTGTTCACATAATCTTGTTTAAAGTGTTTTATATTCAAGATATACAACTGTAAGAATGTATTATTTGATGTCAGATCGTGACAGCAAAATAACATTGTTGCATCTTTCTAGAACAAACCTTCCCCAGAAAGACCTTGAATCTACATGTACGTTTTGAATGATGAATTTCCATATTTCTGAGTTCACGAAATCCAAGTGTGATTTGTCTCTACATTCAAGATATACAACTGAAAGAATGTATTATCTGATGCCTGATCTAGAAACACTTATTTTCAGCAAACACCTGGGATGATCTTAACATGTTTGTTCACAAGATTGGCTTCAAACTGGTGATTGGTCTCAACCTGGTACTCCGCAACGTAACGAGGTGGAATCCATCAAATGCAAAGCTGCTGCTCAAATATTCCTCTGACAAAGGATATCCTTTTGCAGGGATTGAACTGGGAAATGGTAGGTTTCAGGGGCATTTACAACACATAAAAAGTTATTCTTGCTGGGGATGTCCTGAGGAGGAGGTCCCGAACAACCTTAACTTGTATGAGGTGACTGAATGGATCGGTAGTCAGGTTGGTTAATTTTCCGTTTTTAAAGGACCACTGGAATCCAACCGCCTGGAGATTGTGAATACTTTCATCCCGCATGCACACAGGGTGATCTTTTCACATTATCGTGAAGAACGAGAGCAGATTTTCATCACTAATATTACATTTTGAACTTCGCATTGTTATTTATTCCATGATAAATTGATACCGTTACCAGATATTTATATCGTGCTTGCTGAATTTATTTTAATTGTACCTATTTTTCATGAAGAACCAAACTTGTATTTCCGACATCGGAACATTACAATCAGTGATGCTCAGGTGGCAAGTGACTTCAAGGACCTAAAACAAGTCCTCCAAAGAACGGCCTATAAGTCTAGTCTCATCCTTGGACCTGACATAGCCGGTTATAAAGACAAGTTCATTAAAAAGTATGTACAAAATAGAAATTGCATCAATTCACATCAAAAGTGTGAAAAGTACAAAATCATATTAAAACCACTTAAAAGCGTAAAAGTTTCATACACAAGAGAATCCATTTCCACAAACGTTTCGTCCCTACTACCTGTGAAAAGTGACCGTTCCTTCCAGCTTCCTGTCCTTGGGTGGAGCCAGTGTCATAGACGTCTTGACCATCCATCAGTGAGTACCTTCCTTCAGGGTGGGGAAGTATCAGGGCCTACAATGAGTATGTCAGTAGCAATACTCCAGTAATATCACGGAGGGGAACACCAGAAATAGGTTTTAAACATCGTATCCGTGTGGTGACTTGAACCCGGTTCTCCATTTGTTTAAGTGATTGTTGTGTATACAGTAACACAGTTAAAAATTCCTGTTTCAGTTACTACTTTGATGGACACACCGCCAAACTCCAAGATTTTTCTGACTATACAATAATGGACCGTATTATACCTGAACTACAGTCAGTGATGAATACAGTCCGAAGCTATCATGGTCTGGTGGCGTGGCTAGGGGAGACTTCTTCTGGCTATGGGGGCGGCACTCCTGGTATAGACGATAGATATGTGGCAGGCAATCTGTGAGTATTATAGTTATCCAAAGGATTTTGGTTTGAAGTTTTCTATAAGAAGGGTCAGTGAGAAACATTGAATACAGCAGAATAACGTCAACCAGAGCACTTCCGAGGGAGCGCCAGTATACGTTGATGTTGATGACAATTGACAAAACATGCTTGCTAGATGATAATAGGGGGTACATTTGGGAAAACTGGAATCACTTGTATGTTCAAGCATACATGTTTATGGTGTACCATTGCTGATGTCTTAGTATCTGTGCAGCAAAATAATATTCCAGTTTCCTATGTGTCTTAAGAAAGGATGTGTACATGTACGGATATATGATGATGATTCTTATTTTTAGGTGGCTTGATAAACTAGGTGTATCAGCAAAATATGGTTTTAAAAGGGTCCTCCGCCAGTCACTCTTCGGAGGGCATTACTCGCTTACTGACAGCAACAACGACCCTACTCCTGTATGTATTCTTAAGTAATGTCAAAATGTACTATGTCATATTAACGATTAACAATGTAGTTTTGGCCGACTGCAAAGTCTCTTGACAAGGATCGTTGAAGACCTTTAAAAAACTTATTATTATGGAATATTTCGACAATCACTACTTTAACAGCTATTTTCAATGTCCTGTTAGAACAGCTTGAATTGGCACAGAACAACACAGAAGTCAATCCTGTTTTTCTTATAGAGGAACACAATAATTTCTTCTCACAGGACTATTGGTTGACGCTTCTTTACAAGAGACTTGTTGGCAACAAAGTATTTGATGTTCCATCTTCATCTACCAGCATCCGACTGTATGCCCACTGTACGAAGCTTAACAAGTGAGTTGTTAAACCATATACTTTTACAAAACTTGTAAAGCGTATACTCGAAAACATTCACCTTTATCATACTTAAACATATCTTTTAGAATGAAAAGAACGACGTCCACAATGGGCATGAATGGAACGTTGTTTGGCTTCTCGAAAAAAACTCAACTCACAAAACATTTAATTTAAATCCAAATACAATTCGGTTTTCCAGCAAGAAACGATGAAACAATAAATAGGATTATCATTCTCTATCGTATCCATACATGTTTCGAACGAAGACACCCAACATTCCAAAATATTGCAGGTAGAGTTCTGGTCATCTAGACATTTCATCTAATTGTGTGAATGTTGCATATGCTATACATATATGAATTACCAACATTGTAAGAACATTATATCAAAGTCATAATATGCACACACTGAATTTGAAAAATAATGTTTGCCATAATTAAACCCAATACTGTAGCCGAAGTAAAGAACATCATCTCAGGGTGCAGGGTGTTTTCTGAGCCGAATGCTTTGCTCTGTACGTTTCACAGCGGTTTTTCCCTTTACACCAAACGGAATTTGTTGCCGAGGATAGTTAAGACTGCATTTTTCTTTCGCACTGACGTCCTATATTTAATTCAACTGAAGTTCCCGAGAATATTGGGGATAAATAGCATATTTTAGTATGCAGAGTCAACTACAAAACATTAAACGTGCCCCCTTAATGTGTTGCAAAGCAAATCTGTTCCGAAACACTTTTCTTTACTGACATTCATTCGAATCTCTGTACTTCTACATAGGAGTCGCAATTCAAACTTATCTAACTGTATTTTGCGTTTCATCAACAACTTGATTATCTGGTCTGTTTACATGCCTCTGTTGCATGGCTGGAGTACTGTTGTGCCGCGTCAGGCAGAACATATATATATTAGACAAAAATAGTTAGGGATATATTTAAATTTTGAAATTATAAAATATGATCCGTTTATTTATTGACACACCGATAAAATATCAATCATAAAAATACCAATATCCCTAACTTATTTTGTCCAGTATACTTCCATTTTCAGGCGAACACCCGGTGTCCCTACTGTTTTTTCATTGATCCATTCCTATTATTTTCACAGCTGTCTTTCCATTTACACATGAAAATGTTGATTAGTTTTTCCTTCTGCACTAATCTTCTGTAGCTGCCGTATTGGCATATGTCATGAATATATCATCGCGGTTCAAAGGGTCACAAAGATGAATTACAATGTAATGTTTCATGTAGCAGTCTCGTGGCTGCCATCTGAATAAGCATAGTAGCTATACACACGTGACATTAATCCAACATTATGACGCCATTGTGTCCTCACAGGTCGGTCAAAGCAATTCGAGGATATTTTCACAAACAATAAATTTTCACGACATCTGTTTTGACATAACTGGTTCATTTTGGTTTGTTTTACTAAAAACAAATGATATCACTTGACATCATGTCCTCACAAGTCAATTGTATGATATTTAAAAAAAATGAAATGACTCTAGTAGGTTTAGTAATAATCCTACATATTGACATATGTTATGACATCACTTTTGATGTTTCAGCGTATATAACTACAAGCCTGGAAGCATCACAGTGTATGCCCTCAACTTGAATAAAGACCCCGTACTCCTGACTATATCGGATCTGAACATCAATAGCATGGACAGATTCTGGCTGACTCCGGAGGGAGGAGACCTTACGTCAACGTTTGTATAACATGATATGTTTTCTGTCAACTCTTTAGTGAGTGAGTGAGTGAGTATGGTTTAACGCCGCATTTAGCAATATTCCAGCAATACCACTGCGGGGTACACCAGAAATGGGCTTCACACATCGTGTCCATGTGGGGATTCGAACCCGGGTCTTCGGCGTGACGAGCGGACGCCTTAACCACTAGGCTACCCCACTGCCCCGTCAACTCTTGAGCTTAAGGACTGTGTCCGTGTTTCAGTTATCACTGTGTCGTAAGTCGGTTCATAAATAATTGGTTCAAATTATGAGGATAACTTTGAGAGACATTTGCCAGTTTTCATTTTCTTTCCAGAAAAGTCCAACTCAATGGCAAAACACTGGAACTTGTCAATAACCAAATACCACACATGATGCCAAGATCTTTGGGAAGTGGGACGATGAAAGTACCCGGAAACTCCTTCGGCTTCATCGTCATCCCTGACGCCAACATCGCGGCATGCCAATCACAAGGCCACGGTACCATTATCGGATAACTGAACCAGCATTATTTCCCTATTACGTTTAAATAAATTATTTACAAAGGCTCTTTAACGTTTGTGTTTTGGGACTTAGTCTTGTTACTCATCCTTGATATGAAGTTCCCACAAGCAAGTCACCCAGAGGGTTTGTACAAGTAATGATGGTTAGATCTTCAGGAAGAGTAATGATTAGAGTGTTTCCTGGGTGAACAGTATCAAACGTTATGGACATTGCTGTTTCATGTCATTGTCGAACTGATTTTACGTCTCAGGCTGTGGGATCCGTATTTATTAAGATACGTCTGGTGGCCGCACACTAACATGACACTCGGAATTGATTGTTTGTTTTTGTATTGTGCTTGCCCTCCCCCTTACTAACGTCGGTTTGATGATAACAGCCCAGCCAGATACCAGGTCGCAGTTTAACGTGAATACTCCACTCAGATATATACTGAGTCAAAAAAGAAACTTCACATTCTTTCTTCAGGGCACTATAAAAGAAAACAAGAGATGGTAAGATGGTTAAATTGTTATTATTAAATTGCTGAGATCTGTGTGATGTACTCGATACACTGACAGTGCCATAATCAGTTCCATTAGGCTACACCGCCGTTCCAAAACATGGGTGTGCAGAATGTCAAGTCATAAGAATAAAAACGCGAAATTTATCAGTTCAATATCGTGTATGGCCGCCCCGCGCATTCACCTCTGCCAAACACCGTCTCCTCATCGACTGCCTGATGCTTGTGAACAGGTGGTTTGGGATTCTGCACCATTGCTCTTGCAAGGCAGCGCCAAGTTCCTGCAAATTCTGAGGTTGGTTCCTAAGACCACGAAGCCTTCTCCCAAGTGCATCCCAAACGTGCTCTATTGGATTAAGGTCAGGGGACCTCGATGGCCAATCCATGACGTTGATTCCAGCGTTTTGAAGGAAATTTCGTGTCAACATCGCGGTATGCGGCCAAGCATTATCATGCTGGAAATGTAGACCTGGGCCATGAGCCGCCATGAAAGGAACGAGTTCAGGGGTGAGCACCTGGTCGCGGTAAGCAGCAGCTGTGAGGTTTCCACGGATGACCAGAAGTCGGGAACGGTTGTTCCCACAGAAAGCACCCCACACCATGCAACTTCCGCCCCCGAATCTGTCGACTTCCTGTACACAAAATTGGGCATACCGTTCACGACGTCGTCTCCGTCCGCGAAGCTGAGGGTAAACCAGGATTCATCGCTACAGAAGACTCGATTCCAGTCTCTCTGGGTCCATCGGAGGTGACGTTGGGCCCACAGCAGACGTTGACGTTGATGAAATGTCGTCAATATTGGCCCACGATATGGACGTCGAGAATGGAGATTGGGAGTCCGCAACCGATTTCGAATGGTCTGTGAGGACAGTCGACCTCTAAACATCTCAGCCCTGGTTCGTGTAGCCGGCAGAAATCTATCACGTAGGTGGCGTAGGACGATTTGACGGTCTTCTGCTCGAGACGTCACACGTGGACGACCCGACCTTGGGCGATCAGAAGTGATGCCAGTTTGTTGTAGACGACCTTGCAAGTCATTCACAGTACGACGGCTGCATCCCATTGCTCTGGCGACGTCAATAACTGATCTTCCCGCTTGCCACATGCCAACGGCACGTTCACGTTGCACATTTGACAATCGTGGCATTTCAAGTACCGTTAGAACTGTGGTTTAAAAGTGTTTTTTTCAGTTCTTGAGGCCAATGCAAACACGAAATGACGAAAACTTCGATGCGAAGATCACGTGATCGACTGCACGTGCAAAACCTGATTTGGCACTAACATCATAGCACGACGAATGGATGGGTTTGATTGAGGTTTGCTAACGTTTTTCTAGAGTCGAAAGATAGGGATCCCATTTCTGATACATAGATGTATCATCAGAAATAAATGATTCATTATTTTTCAAATTACATTTTGTGAAGTTTCTTTTTTGACTCAGTATAGTATGGTCTCCCAGCCAACAGGTCCTCATCCCGTCATGCCGAATGGTAGGCGAGGGGAAGCAACAAGTAACATTTGTGAGCGTCATTGATGTGGTGTGGCGAGGAACGGAACCGCACACATTCTAGTTTGCAGCTGAAGTACAACTTGGTTTAACGTCGTCTCCATAAGTTAGCATGTTTGATTGTGTGCGTGCGTGCGTGCGTGCGTGCGTGTGCCCGCGTGAGTGCGTGCGTGCTCGATCAGTAAATGTTTCTATTTTTCTTATAGCCGAGCACCTGGAAGAATAGCAACAAGTACCACCTGTATCTATTATAACAATTGGTGTCCTTTTAACATGATGCATATTTTTGTTGATCAAATTATTTACTTACATGATGTAGATATTATTAGGTATTTGGTTCTTAGGGGTTGCCCATATAAATAAAAACATGAACGTTGATTATCGAGGTCAGTCCGGTTACTATAAATACATCACAATATATTGTCACCTACTTTGAGAGTCTACTCCCTGAGTCAGACAATGGAAGTGTACATTGATGCAACGTATCAAAAGTTCCTTGCCCAGTAAATCTCATATACATAATTGTCAAGCAAAGCAATGCAACCATGAGTTGAAAAGTTTATTAAATAAAAACGCCCGTATAAACCGTATATACGGTGAACTACAGAAGAAAGAGTCAAACACTGAATAGTGACAGTATAAGAGCATACTATGCACTGTTGATGATAACAGTAAGCTACAGAAATATATGGAAGGTATTATGAAACTACAAAACTAAATCTTGGCATAAAGTGGTTATAACTGTGGCAGTATTATCAGAATGTTTGCAGTTAGTGATATTATCATTCTAAATGCATGAACACAGGAGACTGGGTGAGCAATAGTGATGGAGGTGATGTTTTAAGAAGTGGACATTTCTTTCCTTTTGGAAGAGTTGATGGAAGAAGGGGAGATGGTTATGAGAAAAAAGGTTCATAGAGTGTCAAAGTGTAATATACAAAAGATCAAATTTTGAAACAGACATGTTGAAACAGTAACAATGACTTGCATCATGAAGCGAAATGTGAATTTGAATGTTACTATGCAGCATTAGGTAATATGTACGAAAAGGCCTAAAGTTTAAAGAGGTTCACTGTTCAAGGATAACCACTTCTTGCTTATTATCTACAGTGCAGTCTGTCAAACTCGGACCCTGTCTTTCTCGGATTGCTGTATAAACAGGACTAAACTCACGGTCCCGACGTAATCCTTCTTTGTTGTCATAATAAAAATGTTTTGTATCTCGGACTCTCATTATGTCGGATTTCGGACCAAAGTGTCGGCCCGATAAGGTAGTTACACGTAAAAACATTGCTATATAATTTGGACTGAGCAGGAAGTCCGCTTGGCCAATAAACCAAGCGTAGTATGGTTTCGCCGTACTCATTTCCGGGGTTGTTTAGCTGGCGTGAATACAACCAGCCAACAATATCAACGTAGTGATAGAAGTAAGAGACATGATTCAGCATCATTGATCATCGGAAATTCATAAAAACTAATCCAACAAAATAATAGGCAAGTTTGCAAAGGAATTGCTTTTTGTATTAACTCCGACTGTTTTCGTCCATTGATTCATACGTTTGTTTACAAAGGTAATCGAGAACGATGCATTTTGCTCACATAATACAAGCCACACATAATTAGTTACAGGTTTCACATAATATTGTATGTCCTTGTAATAGATAGATTTTGAGCATTTTGTTTCATCTTCTGCAAATGATGGCCAAATAAAGGATATAAATCATTCGTCAAAACCCATATGTACACAATCAATGTAACCGAATACTGTTCGTAGAAGCTTATCGTAACTGTATGTATATTCCCATGGTGATGATCTGGAAACTCTTATCAGTGATAAATGGGGGCATGGGTATTTCACTGCAGCTAAAACTATGACAATATTACCAACAGCTTTTATAATCTTTCAATGCAAGTTTTCGACAAACCAAAATGGTACTACCTATTAGTGATACTAAAAGGAACCAAATACTTCCCCGCCATCAGTCACGTTGTAGGGTTAATCAGGTGATACCACATAAACAGGAAACATAACAAAAAGTCACGAAACACGAGTGTCTAACACTTGACTGATATGCAGCCGTTGTCCTTCCTGGTATTACTTTCGAATGCTTCCTTTCATTGATTCCTACGTTTATTTACAAAATTAATCAAGATTATTTTATGACTTAGTTACATTCATTGACACAAAATTATTCACATAGTACAAGCAATACATAATCAGTTACCAGTTTCTCATAATATTGAATGTCCTTGTTGTAGATAGATTTACACAAAATTTTGTCGGCATCTTGTGCAAAGGGATGGCCATATAATGGATATAAATCATTCGTTAGAAAACCCATATATACAAATCAATTTAGACGGATACTGTTCGGAGAAGCTATCGCAACTGAATGTTATTCCTCTTGCTATAATATGGAAAGCATTATGAATGAAAAAGGATAATTCACAAATATTATCACAACTTTATAAATCTTCAAATACTTAAGTAACTTGAATTTGCACATTATCCTCAGTGCCATGAACTAGTCCGAAATAAAAAATTGTAGCTGACCAGTTACTTACATATGTGTTCATTTGATAGATTTAACTAAAATACAAATACACAATGCATGACTGTTTCTGTTTTACATACACTTGTTAACTAACACAATAATATAAAGCATGCAGTGACATTACAATTCGAACTATATAACATGTTACATGGGATAGGTGTTGACATGAACTGTAAGGACTTGCTACCCTATCCCTGTTCATTCACTGAAGTCACGATGTGGCTGAAATATTGCCAAAGTGACTTTATATTTTAACTCACTCACTCACTCATTCACTGAAAACAACGAGCATGAAAAGAGATTATCTAAAGAGGATCTGGGATATATTTTCATTCGTGAAAAGCATATATGTACAAAGGTGAGCTAGATTGACAGTTGAAATACCTATGGAACAATTTTGTCAGTTTTGTAAGAAATCCAGTCAGGTAGATGGACTGAACTAGCTAACTAAACATTTGAGTCTCAAACTTTCTTATGTTACAGTGTCACGTGTGCTGATTAAACGTCGCCGCTTGTTAATCCACGGAGATGAAATTAGTCATTTGTAGACGGCTGAAGCCGGCGATAATCCTGTTTGGCCCAACATGTCATTCCTGCTATCATAAGCAAGCACTCTGCATCAACACAATCACAACCTGACCCTCACCAAGCAGCTCGCCAAGCTGTATGCAATCGTGACGAGAATTTCAAATTTGTATTCATACGGACTTCCCCTCCTTGGAGGACACTTGAGTATGGATGTAACTTTGTTGATAATTCTTTAACAACCTTCGATTATTATGCATAGTTTAAAACAGGTTCCCATTCCCCACAGACAAGTTGTGTCTCGTAATAAGTGTTTCCACTTTGCGAATTTAGCATGTTACGCATTTTGATCCTCGATGTCTCCTACACTTCCGATCACCATTCGTGGGAAGTATGAGTGAATCATGTTCAAGTTCAATGAATAGAACGGTATATATGTCATGTGAGCTGCACATGTTTGCCTGTATTGCTGACAATCCGATCAAGTCTCTTGCTTTTAATATCCAAGAAACTGATGTCAGCTGGACTGATCACACTTAATCTCATTATACAAAAGCATCTAACGTCAGATACATCAGTCTTAAAAGCTGATTGCAGCTTTGATTTTCGTCCAAAACTCTTCTTTGTCATTTTCTTGTGTAGGATACTTAATATACGTATCATACTCAATCATGTCCCGTATATCTCTACTGAGGATTCTATTGTCCGGTATATCGGTATACCACAACACACATAGGACATCTCTTCCAGTGTGGATGCTCTCCAACTTGGCCATGTGAACTTCATAGTCACACCAGGAGCTCTTTGCAAAGCTAGGTGACAAAACAGCAATGGTCTTCCTGCTTGACTGTATAGCATTAATGATGTTGGCGGTGATGGCTTCACCAACCATGAAGTCACGGTCATGGATGCATAACCTCAAGCCGTAGGTTCTCTCTAGAACAGCCCGCATTTCTTCAATGACGAAACCTCTGTCTGCCTCAGCATAGGAAACAAAGGCATCATAAGTAAAATGGTCTTCTTCTTGTCCAAGTCTTTGATACCCCCTGTACTTCCGTCTTGTGGTGTAGTACAGATAGCGTAGCTTCCATCGATATCGGTACACCATACCAGCTCCAAATATCAACATGGAAAGCAGTATTCCTACTACTGCTGTAGACAGAAGGGGAATAACTATTTTGCAACGTACTTGGAGCTTCGCTTTAACATTTTCTATATCTACAAATGAAATTGTTTCCCTGTCTGATAAGGTGCATTTTGTGTTGCCAGGATCTTCAATGGAAATAAACGGCCTTGTAATCCATTCCAATGACTCCAGTGTCGAACAATCACATTTCAAGATGTTACCCTTGATGCTCAGATGAAAAGTGTCGTTTCTATTACTCATGATATAGTCAATTTGATTTGTCAGGTGTGTTGGAAGGCCTTCATACCTGTTTCCGGAGATGTCTAAGGTATGGAGGTGCGGCATGTGCCTAATTTCAATGTTCCAGGAGGACATCATGTTCCAGCTTAAATCAATAACCTCAAGTCTGGTAAGTCTTCTAAATATCAATGACGGCAGTTCCCGAATAAGATTGTGTGAGATTCGTATGACTTCCAAGTTAGTTTGGTTGCCAAATATCTGCCCATTTGTGTCCGCTAGAAGGGACACTGATAGGTAATTTCGACTTATATTTAAGACTTTTAGTCCATCAGCATACATAAAAAAACTGTGAGATACATATTTACAGTAATTGTCTGACAGATCTAAATATTCAATTGTTTGAATTTCATGTATTGGGCCTATCCAGTTTGTAAAGATATTGTGTGAAATGTCAACAGTTTTAAATTGGTTTGCTTGAAAGTTGAGCTCAACAATGTCATAGTTCAATTTGCTGTTGCTAATATTTCCATAGGTTGCATTTGGAGGTAGTGGTATCTTATAAGGAGGACGTAAGATACTGGTTTGGTTATATTTTACATCAAAATAGGGACTATTATGATGGTTACGGTACGAAAGGCTATGGCTGCAATGTGCCTCAAATTGTTCACAGGCATGGATGCTGTTATATGAATATTGAACCACTGGCTGGGGATCAAATGAGGGCAGCGGCTTGGGGGAGAGGAATGTGCCTCTAACTGCATCAACTTGATTGAAGGGGATATTAGATGAATACTGGTTATAACAGAAATTTTCCGCAGATTTGTCAGTCTATCGAGACTCAGGAGATAGGTTCCAAATGTCACTCTATTGTGATTCATGGATATTATTTCCACTGTTTTCATGTGACCGATGCATTCCTGGTCTATGAGTTCCAATCTATTTGCATCAATATGAATCTCTTTTAAATTAAGATCAGTGAAGTATCTCGTATTGTGTTTCTTTAGGTGAACCCCTATGGCAAATGTTGTCACTATTCTGTTGACCTTTAAAACGCTTAGAGAAGAATTTCGAAGTCCATATATAGCTTCACCCATGCGATCAAACCCTAGATACTGATTGTCAGATATATCGAGTGTATCAATATGCCTTAATGGCCAGAATGCACTTGCTTCAATAAAGTTGATTCTACATTTGCTTATGTCCAGGTTCCTGACAGATGGGGTGTAGAGAAATGATGTATTCAACAGGGTTTGAACTGAGCAGTGGCCCCTTTTGCCTGATAACGACAGCGTAGTAAGATTCTTCAGTTTCGAAAATCCAGTCCCAAACGAGGCATTCCGAACACCGTCAATGAAAAGTCTCTGAAGAGCAGTAAGATCACCAAGCGGTTTATCCGGGTATACTGAATCTGCGATCTTGTTGTTGTTTGCAATGTTCAGCGTAAGCAATTTTTTCTGCTCTCTAAATATGCCCTCTGGATATGCTGATTCGTTAAGTTGGAGATGGTTTCCATTGAGGTTCAAATGTAGCAGATTTGTAGCTCCTGCAAAAGTGTGCACATGCAATCTTTTCAGTTGATTGAAAGACAGATCAAGATGTTCCAAAGCAGAGAACCATTGAAACGAGCCACCTGGCAGATGCTTAATACTGTTGTGAGACAAACACAGGTATGATACTGAATTTGGAATCTGTTTGGGGATGTTAGATAGATGTTTGTCCTTACAATTGGCGATCAACTTTCCATTGGGTGTGACCCTACATACACAAGGCTTACAGGAGATGTCCAATTGTTTCCCTAGAGTCAGAGAAAGGCAGGCAAGGAGCAGGCACAGGACGCACAGCAACATCTTATCTGAAAGCATGAAACAAATGCTGAAATTACCAAAATAGTCCTATGATTGTTTCGTTTGTAACCTGCGAAGCTTTATTGAGGGTGTATACTTATATGTCATTTATCAAGGTACCCTCCAGACTGAAGTTCACAGCGTGGAGAACATTTCGACTAAGGTCTTCAGTAAGGGTTGTGACCTCCTGTAGCGTATCTTACAGCCACGCAACGTCTCCTCATGGATCTTAGGACTCTGTCACACTTCTGCGTATCCTAATTCCTTATGACTTGCGCATTAACATTTCTTTCATACGCAGTCTTACGCACAATAACCACCTCATATTCACCTCAATCGTTTTGTGTAAGTTTGTTCATTCCATACACGGCAATACGCTGATCTCCAGGCACGAGCTATGAACCGCGTATGTTGGACGTACACATGCGTACTTGCAGCGCGGATACAACGAATCAGTACCGTTTGTCCTGCGATCGGGCAGCGCATTGTACTTATTTATAAAGTATGACAAACGCACAGATAGCGTACTTGTCGAACATCCATGGTATACTCGACATTTGGTATAAATATTATGGCTTGGGCGGGCCATGATGACAAAAGGTTGATGTTCATGCTATAGAATCTGCACTGGTAACGAAAATAGCGGGAAACAGACGCACTTTTTGAAGCCGCCGTAAGTACGTCATCCTCACCCTAAGACTTAAAATTGTTTGTCGTGAGCCATTAAAGGCTCTTGCAACAGCGACCACAGACTGGCCAGTGTCAAGCCTCCCCATAACATGTTGACTTTCTTGATTTGAAAGGCGTGCAATTTCCGAAGAAAGATTAAAATAAAACGTTTAATTTGTTTTCCAGCTGACATTCAATGTGCCTGTTCAGCTGAAGCAAATATGCACCAGGTGACCTCAAGAATTTGCTTTTTCACATGTGCAGTCCGTGTTTTTCATCTTCATAGACGACAAAGTCAAGGTTTGCGCGTGAACTTTCAATTTCACGAAATTAAAGCATTCCCACTGTTTAAAACTATTTAATATACTTGTAAACTTATTTGATTGAACAGAAAAAGAGAAATATCGAAATGTATCATTATCTTACTATTCCACATGTTACATACTTTGTAAACATTGATTCATTGCAAGATTATGCTGCGTTTTGAAATACTGTCACGCCTGTTCGGTGAGGTAACAGAAAACTGGCTTCACCCAATATATCTTCATGGGTCTTTGAGGTCTTCTAAATGAGTGAACGTTAAATCCACCACTTCACGTTTTGTGAAACTAGGATATCATCTAGTATACTAGATACTCCTTTGAGAACGGACTGTGACCTATACTTACTGTCTTAGAAACCAGATAAATAGTAGAATCTTCTTTGTAAAGATATACAAGAATACATGTGTTTGAGAAGCACTGATTGCCCCTTAATGCATTGATTTACAAGCAGAAGGAGTGAGTGAGTTTAGTCTTACGCCGCTGTTAGCAGTATGTTTCATAAGTACACAAGGAAGACTTCCAACGCTGACTGACTCGTGACATTTAACAGTTGACCTTCCTCCTCAAGCCAGCTTTGCTTGTCCGGTTAGCCCTAAATATAGATAAACCGGGAATTATCTCTCGAACAACTTCAAGTGTCGCATGAAGTGTTGTAGTGTCTGAAGCGTTGCTCTTGTCACGTTACAGCGACACAATTCGTTCTGTTATCGTAAAACAAGAGTGGAGTCGATTCCCACTACATGTTGAGTATGTGTTTGTGAATTATCAAGTAATGACATCCGGCATTTCCTGTTGCACAGTTGACTCCTACCAGAAACATGGAATACATATCTGAAGAATATTATCATTGAAATTAACATATGGTGCATGTCAAAATAATCGTTTCCATCGGATATCTTACATGACGCTCTTGCGTCGAACGTGGAAACGTTCCCTACATATGCACATACAACTTTTTGAAAGCTTTTCCGAGAAAGATACATGCAACTAATTGTACGCTGTTGAAGTAATTCATTTATAAACTAAACTGTTCCCACTCATGAAAGCCCTTTACTGAATGCCTCAATGAACCTCTACCAAATAGATCCGTGAAGATTCGGGCTAGAATTGATGCTTTTCGTAAGAGGCGATTAACGGGATCGGGTGGTCAGGCTCACTGACTTAGTTGACACATGTCATGGTATCCCAAATGCGTAGATCAGTGCTCATGCTGTTGATCACTGGACTGTCTGGTCCAGGCACGATTATTTACAAACATCTGCAATGAAGCTGGATTATTGCTGTTATTGCGGCGTTAAGGGGTTAACCCCCTGGATGCCACAGGGACATATATGTCCTTTCCCTTCAACCCTCAATTTGAAGTCCAATAAAAATCAAAATATCCCACGCACACAAATACACTTCACAGTTTCGAATTCTGCGGGAAATTTCCTGTTTCTTGATACCATCCACTATTATTTTAGACAAAGCTCAAGTGCTGAAAATGACCTTACAAAATAGGCTTCATCGAAAATGGCGACATTTTTGACACAGTATGAAATCGCGATTCACAGCGTTATTTGCTGTATGTTTTGAAATGTGAAAATCGGATAATTACTGTTAGTATTGAATTTCAAAAATAACATATTTATGATCACTGATATCAGTTTTACATGATTTCGCTAATTATAATTCTGAAACGTTGCCGATGAATCTAGAATCGGTTGGGATGTTTTCGAAAATGCACTTACACGAACCCCGTAGAGCGCTTTCCGCAATCACGTTTCGCGAAGGCCGGTATTGAGACGCCTATTACATCACGTATATTTCATAATCAGCTTCGAAAAATGCATCACTGAATTCCCCATACATTTTAGAATCAAATTGCAAATGGTCTGTTTCACCAATAATAACTGTCTAGATAAAATGAGACGAAACATATTGGGTGTGAAAACGAACGCTGTGCTTGAAAGACTGCGTTAGTCTGAAATGTAGACAAAGACAAATTCCTATTTTACACTGCGTAGCATTTTCTGAAATTTTTCAACATTCATCCGTCTATTCATTACTTGCAATGGCTCAATACCTTTAGAATATACATGGAAAGAGTATCGTAGCAAGAAATAGGAAATTATAAATAGATACAATGCAATGATTTGATAATTCATAAAAAATTGTCAAAGTTTCCGTGCAGCGTGACGCCATGACTGACGCCAAATCACGCCGAACGACAACGGTAATTATCTGCATTTCTGTCCTTTTCTCTTACTTATAGTGAAAACGATAAAAACATATAACAATACACAGATAGTCAGAATCATTCTGATTACTTACATCTCATATTTATGTACAAACGATCCCTAAATCAGTGGAAGGGTCCTCACAAAATCCTGTGTACCCTTGTAAGCAAAGCCGCCATTTTGTAAGAAATCGGTCAGCGGTAGTGATGTCATACGTCAACATTGTTGTACATATTAGGCAATTTCTTTGAGGTGAAGGTCGGTTGAACAAGAGTGAACACAATCGCCATATCCTTCCGATTACACTGTCATTATTATGATGTATATTTTGCGGATATTTCGGATACTTTTTCATGAAACTGACTTCAGTATCTACATTTAGCCTTGTTCAATATCATATCATACAGGCATATAGGGCTTACGGTGTTTTATTCTTTGAAAGTTTTTGATTGTTTGAATCATATTTACATAAGAAATTGACATATTTATAAACCTTTACACAAGTGTTAGAAGATCAAACGTAGCCATAACTGCAATTACTTTAGTTCTTATGATGTACAATATTCAATTTATTTGGACTAATATTGCAATTTCATATGAACAGGTTAATGAACGGTGATATAATTCAACCTTATATGCAAAACTGATAATATTAATGACAATGATTTATATATGGTATGAAATGTACATGCACACATATTTAAAGGAATTGTCTTGTTCATTACATAATTGTGTGTCGTTTTATAGACAAAAGAATGATGCATATAGATCGGCAAGGTGCGCGTTTCTTGGCAACGTTTTATGATTCTCTATCATTGTTTTCGATAATATATTCAATTCATATTCGATTAAATAATATTGTGATGACAGGATATCAAACTCTAACTACTTATAGGAAAATTGTTGAAAAATATATATACCATCTCATGTGTTAATTCGCACAAATCTTATATCCATATTCTAATATATAGTTCCATATATAAAAAGCTATCTTTATGCATCTGTCATTGCATACGTATGAAGAGAAATAGCTTCATAATCATAAACAAACAAAAATCTTATCCCAAACAAAATTTTCGGGTGTTGTGAAATATTATTTTTATTTACGTTAAATTGATGCCAAACAGGTGCGCGTGTTGGTCACAATAAGATACGCTGTCAAACTGTCTAATTGTTGATATATTCAGGACTCTATTTAAAAGAAAATCATTCATTTTATGTTTTGTCTAAAGGGTGTTAAATTCTGACATAGAAGTCTAGACCTTTTATACAATTAATGGAAATTAAGTGAGATATATACTAATCTGAATACCAATGTCGTCGTTTTCCAACGTCGCAAAATGCACAAAACAAGCGATGACGTCAACTAAAATGTTGTATTATTTTCAACAATTTCGTTACATTTGAAGATATGGCTAGTATTCTGGTAATAACGATGCAAAATTAGTCAAATTACATCTACACAAACAGGAGAATATTTGAATCTAAGAACTAACTTATATATCGGATAGGGCCATTCAAATCGCTATTACGTGCTTTCACATGTAATACGTTGTCATCTTTTCTTATAAATTGTGAAACTACCAAAGCGCATCCGTTCACATTGGGGAACTTTGAATTGGAATAGTGAGGTTCACCATGAATATAAAATAACGAAAATATAGCGTCCGTATCAGCACCACATTTTCGCCAAGTGATCTGAGTTACATTGACCTAGTGTTACGCATAACGGAGTTATGCCCCCTTATAATTATACGTGTATGACCTCTCTGTCGCCGTTTGACGTCATAGAAGAAAATACATTTTTGACATTTACTGCGGGTCATTTTTAGTGTTGAGCGTATAACGTTATGCACAAGCAGATAAACCCAATTCATATACACTTATGTCGTTCAGATATCAGGCTGTATTTTCTTCGCTCACACTTTCCGTAAACATGCCCCATTAAAAAATTCGTAGCACAGTGCTTTTATCGGTGCGCGATAAAAAGCGGAGAAATTTACTGTTTTTTAACGCATAACAAAAATTTGGACAACATTTAGCAGGTCTATTTCTCAAACCGCCAAGGTAGCTGCACTTATATTTATACCAACGGATAGGAAATTTAATATTCTACATTTCTGTGTAATTTTATAGCCTTACGTAGATCCAGGACCACGCGAGAGCAATTCTCGCACAACGTTCACTTTTCAAAGCGTATGAAAATGTGCGCCTGAAAAAAAACTCGGCAGCCAGGGGGTTAAGAAAACACAACAACCAACCAACATCGACCAAATAGACAAATAGTCCAGAACCGACACTGCCGTTCCATGACCGTTTCAACTAAGTCATCAAGCAATACATGCAATCAAATCAGTCGATTCGTGTGACAAGCACAGGCTGATGGGAACGAAGTCTAAAGCGGAACACCTGTAACTGACATGTCGTCTTCAAACAGCCCTTAGAGTTTTGTCAAAATAGATGAAAATGTCATCTGCATGAAGTTACCATTTTGTTCAATGATCAACTTTGTTGTAGGTGGTGAATTTGTTAATATTTTTGTCAGTTCATCATAAACATATTGGGGCGGGCTAGTGGTTAAAGCGTTCCCTCGTCACGCCTAATACCCGGGTTCGATTCCCCACAAGTGAAGCTCATTTGTGGTGTCCCCCGCCGTGATATTGCTGGAATATTGCTAAAAGCGGCGTAAAACCATACTCACTCACCCACTCATAAATATACTACCCATCAAAAGTTAAGACTCACTTAAAGCACTCACTATATGCTATGCATATATGTGTGGTTACATCGAAGATGAATTTCTCCACTAACTTTGTGGAACCAACTGCAAACTTTATGCAGATGAATTGCACGAGGATCATGCATCAAATTGCTAAAAAGCATGTGCAATTATCGTGCATGTGAACAGCTGTGTTGTGGTATAATTTTTGTTTTTTAAATCGCCAATTTTCACTCAGTTTCATCATTTTTTTAACCCATGACAATAATCTATGTTCAACGTTACGAATCTGTTTTACAATACATCAGTTCACGTGTAAACAGTACCTTTAAACGGTATGGAATTTTTTGCAAAATCTATTTTAGAAGAGTTGACTTAAATAAGTGGCTACATTTACACTAGTGAGTCTAAACTTTTGATGGGTAGTATATTAACACTCATATTCACACAAAATAAATGATTTCTTAATAGAAATATATGGATTCATCAATACAACTGCGCCAATGGCTCGTTTGAGTTTGTCATGTAGAATAAACAATTCAAATTGAGGAATTCAAAATACATTCTCACCTGCAGCGTTTTTACACCTAGTCAACAGCGGGCATACTCATGTGTCGTTAGGATAGCGAGAGCACTGCATCTGCTGGAGACTTATCGTAATGTGACTCCTATTAGAGGATACATCAGATGACATCCCACATCCGTTCACAGAACACAGGTCTTAAGGGTCATTCACATTTGAAGCATTGTAGTTGAAACTGAGAACTGGGTTTTCCCAGTCATCTCGTCTGAGCTTTTCTCCTGTGTAAATTTGCTAAGCGGAGTGAAGATTAATGATGAGTAGGAACAGACAGAAATCACCTCTATTATATTCAGGTTTTGGCGTCTAGTTTGGTATATATTATCTGTGCACATCACTTGATTGCCACGAATGTGTTCAGGTATATGATACTGTTAACACATGCATCATCAGCTGTTTCATTGTAATCTATCCTCGGTGCTTTATCTAATCATCTATCAGACTTGAGTCAACACAGAGAATCCAACGGTAGATGCTATGATCAACATCATCGGGTTACACTACCACAATCCGAAATATCATCAATCCGCAGCAATCAGTTTGAACACAGAATAGTATTTATCATCCAAAACTGGCTCCCACAGTACTTAGATATCGCTTGTGTGAGATCAATGCTGTGATGTAATAAAGCTGATGACGTCACAATAATATGACCTCACTGAGATCACTGCTCAAAAAGCCGAATGGCAGTTTTGTGTTCAGATAAATTCATTCTTTTACTGATAACTGATGAAAAAGATTTGGGATGATTAACAGAATTTCACTCACGTGTATTCTGATATCAAATATATACACTCGTTAATTTAATTAAATCTATAAAGTCCTAGAGGCTGTTGAGGTTGGATACTTGGCAGATGTGTCCTGGGGTGTATCATTTGGTAACCGCTGTATGCGTAGATATTATACGACATAATGTTATCTGATATAACCACCACCACCATGATGAATAAATAAGAAATCTTATGAATTTAGATTTATTAGACGCATTACAGTATCCTTATATTTATCTTATTCTACATCACATGAAAGTGTTGATTTTCTGTAAGTGATTCCTCGGTATAACTTATGTCAGAAATGTAAAACGAAATACGAACGAATCGGGTCTCATAACATATGTTATATTTGGGATTGCACTTTCGCAGTAAAGTACACATTGTAGTACTTTTGTTGGGTTGAATCCCATGCGGGATTCGAACCCACACCCTCAGTGCCAGGCACCTAATCGCCAGCATACAAAGTCTGTCGTCCAACGCAGCCACCGCTGCTTCCGCGAGAATCGGGTCTTGTCCGGGACGTAGTAAATTCAATAAGACGAGAGTATGTAGAGACTCCACCTCATATACATGTATATAGTCTGGTCTTATTGAATATGATATACTACGACCTAGATCTCGAGCGAAACTGGACGTACATGGATCTTTAGGCAGACTTCATGCACAGATCATACGTCAACTGTTCACAGTTCTTGAGCCAACTGTAGGTACACACATCTTGAGCCAGAGGAACCAAGTCTTGGGACGGGGCTCACAACAGACCCATCAGTGCCGATACAGTGCGTAGACGTTTATCACATATCATATCGTTGTCGTGTCCTCATCACTCACACCGTCAAAACCGACTTCAATGGGCAACTCAACATCGAAATTGGCGTTATCGACAATGGAGAACTTTGCTTTTCTCTCATGAAAGCCGGTATTGTGTTTCGACTGTCGATGACAGAGTGAGAGTATGATGACGGCGTGGGAAACCGTTTTCCAATGAGTGTATTGTTGAAAGAGACTCTTGGTGTAGACCAAGCATCATAGTGTGGGGTGCAGTCGGTCTGAACCCGATAACTGGCACCGAGTTGTTCCAGAATCTCGGTCCAGGATGATGAAGTGACGTGACAGCTGCTCGCTATAAGACCCCACTTTGTACCACATTTTGGACGTTCCAGCAAGACAACGCTCGTGCCCACACTGCCAGAGTAACATTGGACTTGCCAAGACAACATGGCATCCAAACCCTACAATAGCCTGCACTCACTCCGGATTTGAGCCCATTAGAACTCCATTGGGACGAGATTCAAAGAAGACTGAATGACCTCCACCCAAGGCCGACAACTGCTGCTGGATTCGAGCAGGCATTTCCCAGAGTATGGACCCAAATGCCTATTGCTTTCATCAATCAGCTAATTCACTACCCTTTCATCGTTGCCCATACCGGCCACACATAATACTGACTTTGGGGTATCTTAATGGTACCATTTTTGGTGATTTTGTTTTTGTGAACTCTAAATGTCATTCCCGAAAGTGTGTTAACCCGTAATTTGTCACGTTTGAACTCAATCCTCCGTTTTGATTGTTAATTAGACTGAATGAAAGTGTGTGTTTTAAGGAACCGCCATCGGTGCGACATTTCTTTTGTGGTTCAGTATATTTCCCAAAGTGTTGCCACTGTTTGGAGTTGTCTGCATTTTAGTGCATTATTTTGACATAACATGTCGTCTGCAGCCCGAATTATGTACTCATGGACAAACGGTTAGTTAGAGCAACTTATGAATTCAGAATGGAATACCATATGGAATACCAGATCTTTTTTGTATATAAGAAATATATTCAAAATAGTTTTCTTGCCTTATTATAGAAACATTATTGGTAGAGTTAGCAAATGTATTTATCTCCTGTGATGTTAATGTACTGCGCTGATAGCTTTATATCTATGTACATTATTTAGAATGAGATTGACAAATATGTAACACTCTGACACGTGACCCATATGTTATATCTTACAACTGTACCATGGGTCATGTGGCCAGAATTACGAAGTAAAGTTAATAGATTGAATAAAACACACGTCGAGAGCGTGAATATTTCTTCTTTCCGGCTACATTAAATAAAGTGAAGAGTTAGAGTAAAGTTGTTACATGTTATTCTTCATTTATGACGTCTAGGTTACATTATGGGGTAAGCCATTTAGACAAGAAGCCACCCCATTTGGCACCAGTTGAACTCCAGTTCTTGCAAAACTGTTTCTTTATGCACATGAAAAAGGTTACTGAAAACACTTCCAAGGTCACAAATTATCGTTCATAAAATCAACGTCAAATACCCACGCGCATCATGAGCATGTGTTTATGAATCATTGCAGAAATTACGATGATACCGAGTGCTTTCGGAGAGTTGTACGTATCTTGCTTTATCGGTTTGTCAGTTTGTCAAAACCCTAAAGAACTGCTACTCTTCAATTGAGTCAAACATAGGATATTTGGTTCCTCCGTTTCCCTGGACCCAAAACTCCCCATCAGAAAGAAGACAAATTTTTGTATAACACGTTTACCTCAAGCCTCGCAACTTCGTTTTGTAAGCATGTTCATGTCAATTTCAGGGTCAGATACAGACAGAGACATACACCAGCTGACATTACCATGCAGTGATCCATTTCCGCCAACTACTTACTACTATGGTGACAGTTTCGATGCTGCTCATGCATATTTTCCACAAGGTATAGAATAACCGACTCCTTACGCATATTCACCGATGCTCTATCTCTAATAAAAAAATAATACACTTCAATGATTCATGCATGCATAATCAGTAATTCCAAGATTTAGAAGGGATAGTTTAGGTTTAACCAGTTAAAAGTCGCAGAGAAACTGACACATGACAATTCAGGCTAACAAGGGACCCCTGATGACAAAGGCTATCGCTTTGGATGACGTAATGTTGTACATGTCTACATAATGTACCGAAATCGTCACAGTCCAGAAGTCTAAGAATTCAACAGTCTAAAAGTTCTTTATCGCGCCGTGCACAGCCACATCCTTGTTCATGATGATTGTAAGGAGAGGCGGTCTATATATAATCGAGTCTGGACCAGACAATCCAGTGATCAACAGCATGAGCATCGCACTGCGCAAATGGGACCGATTACATGTGTCAAGGAGCCTGACCACCCGATCCTGTTAGTCGCCTTTTTACGACAAGCATGGGTTACTGAAGGTTAATTTTAACCCGAACCGTCACGGGTATTGTTCTAGGGAGGGGTGTGTGGTGGGGTGTCATCATTTTTGTACATGACATGCAGGGAGACTTTTTTGTTCATAAAATTTAGGGTGGTGGGGGTGGTGGGGTCACTCACATTGTACATGCCTCACCATAATCATCATCATCATCATCCTCTCCCACACTCCACACCCAGGCCATAAATTATGAACAACCCCTAATGCCACCTTTAGTTCGCGTTATAATTGTTGTCATGCTCTATAACCCCAGGACAAACGTGTTGGAATACCTACACTAGGGTAGTTTATAGAATGATCGTGCTGGAGTTATAGATGATGGAGTGTTGATAGTCTAATCCATATCGACAAATTTAAAGACTCTGTATGGAAACTGTCAAAACAGTATAGCATTGATCAGTATAATGCTGAATTGGCTCGCCGCATGAGGGTAATTCTTGGAAAATACACAGCAGAAAAGTTCAATCTTATCTTTTTGGCCACCGAGGAAAAACTATATCTCAAAAAGAAAAACTTTCACAATACCGTTCATAAGAGAAAGTCTATGGTAATTGAATCGTGCTTTCCTAATCAAAAGTACATGAACGATTCGAAATTTGAAAGACTGAAGACTGCTTTAACAGCCGCAGTTGCAAGAACAAGGATCCCAATGTCATCTAAAGAAAGTGAAGTAGGAGCGTTCTGGGTTTTGGAGAAAGAACAGTTGTCAATGTTACTTGACAATATTGATCTGCACCAACCATCAGACGTGTCTGAATCACAACCTGGGAAAACTGTGTTCATGTTCGAAGCTGCCCACCGACTGGAACGCAGCGGAAAAACACTACTTATCTGTGACAGCATGGAGGAAAACACTAAAAGAAAGTAGGTTTGTATACTAGAGGTAATTTGCTCCATCAGAGAAAAAGTGAATTATTGTAATGGGCATGACATATTGAGCTGGTTGTTTTACATATAGCTTCGTTCTTCAAGAATGGGTTGACTGGGGCTAAGCGATCATACATGCTAGGTACTTTGTATATTCAATAGGTTTAGTGGCTTAGCCTAGTGTTGGGTCTTATAGCTAACGAACATTCTAACACGCAATCTCTGTGTGATGGGATGGTCAGAGATAAGGAGTGTGAATATGCCTATTTTCAGCCATGCTCACGATGAAGTGACAATCGAGACTATAGAATCTTTCCGCCAGTCTCGTCAGGACTTGACACAGTTTAGGCACATCATGGTATCCGCCACAGCTCACAAACTGGAGGCAATTGAGGACAAGCTGAAGGCAATTCCTACTCCGATATGGAGGATCTACGAACGCGATGAAGGTTAGTATCACAGATTATGTCATACCTGTGAAAACAATTGTATCATAACGCGTATTCTAAATTATTGGCTGATGCCTTTTTCATTTCAGTGTTGTGAGTTTATAGCTAAAATATTATCATTTGCATGTTGCCTTCTTCAAAGTCAAAATGCAGCTCGCTGATGACTACTCACTGAAATAAATGTTCGCATTTGTGTTTCAGTTCCCACAGAAACCGTGCGTGTTGTGCTCCTGGGCTACGCTAAGACAGGGAAAAATCTCCTTGCCAATACAATTGCAGGCGAGAAACTGTTCGAAGCTGGATTACTCAAACCTACAACAGTATGTCAAGAGAAACGGGCAAGCGTGGATAACATGACATTTCAGATAATGGACACACCAGGTTTTTCCTTGCACAACAGACAGAACATTCAGACTACTGTTGAGGAGTTGGTGAGCAGGGCAAGCTCCACTGATGCTTTCTTGCTTGTTGTAAAGGCATCGCCAATAACATATGAAGAGGACCTGCTCTTCAAACATGCCAGCGCAATTGCTAGGAAGACAATATCACACAAGATAGTGGTTGTGTTCACAACACTAGATGACGATATCACTTTGAAGGGATATCTCAAGAACATTCCCAGTTTCCTGAAAGAATTTCTCCAGTTCTGCCAGATGGCGAATGATCAAATACAAGACCTGTTGAGGGCAACAGCCAAGATACAAAGTACGCATGTGCAAGAGCAACAGATGAGAAGAATACCTCACAAACTGACTGCAGCCATCCGTGAACTAGAGAAACGTTACAGGGACAACTTGACACGGCAAATTCAACAGATGCAAATAATCCTCTGATCGCGTTGTGGGCGTGAATATACAGTCGTTAGGCACCAACTTCCGGGAAATGGAACTTTACACACATTTAGAGGACGCACACTTTTCCGGACCAAGGATATCCGGAAACCTCGCCTATCCGACGATTTCTACTTGAAGTGGAATACATACTACATAGAATGCTTCATTTATCAGAAAATTTAGTGAATTGTAATTGCCAAGGTTGCCAAATACACAGTGTGGAATATGCTTGTTTTGCAATTTTGCATCTAGCAACATTTTTTAATTTTTTTATGAAAACTGTTCATCGTATATCTCGACTTTTGTTCTTAACATATTGTAATAGTTTAATTGAAATATTCAATATTGTTTACATAAATGGTTACGTGAACGTAATTACATTATGGTCATTCTTATTTCAAATATATACAGTAAATAATCCAACTAAAATAACATTTTCATTTCTGATATAATAATTGTTTCTTATATATTTTATTCCGACCATCCCATCAGCTTTCCGTGTGTTATATTATTTAGTATTTGTATTACCAATTCACCGGTAGACTGAACGAAAACATATGGGCAGTTTATAGCCATTTTTGTTTTTGTTTGCGAGATAACACGCGGTAATCTTTGCCCTTGTATATACAGAAATCCCAGGTAGGACAGGAAATGCAACTAAAACTGATATGTCATCACGGTTGCTGATGTTTTGTGTCAAGTTGTACATTATTATGGACCGAGGTCGTTGTCAGCCGCTCGTTCACCTGACTTCGCAGAAGGGACGCTACTCTGAGCATCAGATATTGGCACCATAAGCGTATATGGCCTAGAAAGCCATGAAAGCTATCTTTACCCACTCTTATTGAGGTTTGGGAAAGGGGCGAGTGGTGACGATTGCAAGGACCAGTGTTAAATGTTTCTATTTTGTTCACTTTGTCACATCAGTATTATTGTGCCTCGACGATGCAATAATCTGGATTTTGACTCATACGATCAATATTGAAGTTCACTCGTTTTTTACAATCATGCCTGGCTGAATAAATGAAACGATAAAGTCACTTATGTCGAACGATTAATAGTTCACTATTTATTAGCCTTGGTTCTGTTATGTTTAATGAGATTAACACGCTTGGAATGAACTTCCATGAAAAATTGATTTTGAAAGAGGTATATTTGGGCACAACCATTCGTCACCATTCGCCCCTTTCCGTAAACTCCAGGAATACTCGTGCCCTCTCGATGCTGTGTTGTGTGTGAAAATATGACAAACAAATCAGAACGCGCGGAATGATTGCATGTACTTTGATATAAGTAATCTCAAGTACTTAAATCGTTTTTGGCATTGTATGAATGTTTAAAAAAACTATCAAAAATTATGTATCTCCATGTTTAAAGTACACAGGATATACCTAACAGAATTCTCTTGGCTCATGTGGTTACTTTTATTTATAAGGATAATGCCATGGACAGTGAGGTATACAAAAATACGCACGTGCGTTTGTTTACATAACGGCTTTCTAATTGTGTGTATTTCTGACGATCTTGCGGGTATGTTTTGGAGATTTTACGTGCGCTTTTCAAACATTTTTAGAAAATAATAATTATAATTCACTTCAAGTTTCAAAGCAATAATATTACATCTGTTAATAACAAATCAACTTTAATCTTTATAATTGGGCTCTAACGTCCATGGTCCCCAGTACGATGATCTACTTTCAGTTGTTGGCGATCTATAGCCAGTGTTTTCATACTGTATTGTCAAAAAATGCTATTTGTTTTAACTTAACATGCTAGTTTTGTTGTTTAGGTGTTTTATTGTACTTTGGCGACATGTTTTATCATATACACATATTCTTTATCAACGTCAAAATTGTTTTCTTCACGATATGGATGAAACTCTGCCGATGTGACATTAAATCTTAATTCACTCACTCTTGTTTAACGTAGTTCTGATGTTCATGTGCCAGTTTGAAGTCCTTCCAGAGGGGCACGCGTCGATATTCGGCTTGTGTCGGAATAATACGAGTTGGTCACGGTTGGGCACAACTAATGTTTTGGCTGAAGGCTGATATATGTACACGTCGAGTTTGACCCCCAGAGTTCATTCTACTTAAATACAGAAATATGCATTGATACCATATCTGTGATGCTTTAAAGAGTGGGATGTTTCTGGATTGGGAATAAATTGTCACTACAGTCATACTTGGACCACAGAACAAGCAAGAGAAAAGGATTCAGCCATGTATTGTCTAGCATTAATGTAGTAAAGTTGCTTGAACTGACACCAGGTAATGGAAAATCTCGTGAGCGGTTGTACGTGTACAAAGAAGACAATGATCACCATCGTTTCATCAGCAAATTACCGTGAAGATCCGGGTTAGAATTGATCTTCAGCAACCATGCTGATTAGTTTCAAGACGTGTAAAAGGTGACCCAGTCATCTCAGGAACTACAAGTTCCTGTACAGAGTTGTTTCCCTTAGGTTTGTATGTTTGATGTTTGATATTCAAACTATGTGTCTCTAGTCTGTAAACAGACGATCCAGTGATCGACACCCGTGAAGATCCGAGTTAGAATGAACCTTCAGTAACCCATGCTGGTCGTAAGAGGCGACTAACGGGATCGGGTGGTCAGACTCGCTGACATCGTTAACACATGTCATAGGTTCCCAATTGCGCAGATCGGTGCTCATATTGTTGATCACTGGATTGTCTCGTTCAGACTCGATTATTTACAGACCACCCCCCATATCACTGGAATAGTGCTGAGTGCGGCGTAAAACTAAACTCACTCACTCACTCCAGTGATCGACATCATGAGAATCAATCTAAAAATAATTGGAAACGATGACGTGTCAAGAAAGACAGCGAATCTGACCAGTCAATCTCATGACATGTATGAGTGGCTAAAGACCAATTCTAACCCGGATTTTCAAGGGTGTTATGATCGGGCGTGCGAGAAAACTATTATCTTTGGTTCGAGTCCCTGTTGTCCTGACCGCTGGGTTTCACTGTAAGACCTGCATTATCTGCTATCTCCTCCCACGTCATTCTGACACGGCGTAATACAACTGGAAAAATATTTTTAAAGTTTTTAAAAGATAAAAGACAGGCAGACATGACTCTGATAAACAGTCGTTTTGGCGGTCCTCATACGTCATTATTATTTGTATTACTTATACAAACACTGACCTCAAATGAGGTTTGTATTTCAAAATCAGCATACAGCGACGTACAAATTAACATGGGGAACGGCGATTAAGTTTTATTCGTAGCTATTATGGCAGCTATTAATCACTGAAAACAGACCAAATATGGTGAGTAGGAGAGACTGGCACACATATAACGGTACACTGGTATATACAAAGGGTTATTTTCCTGTGACAAATATTAGATTTGTGCTCACATTGATCATAACTGTAATAATGGAAACCTTTGAACTACGTTGTCAGTTCACTTAAGATATTGTAATGCATGGGGCTCTGGGTTCCGATCTACAAAGCGTTCGTAGCGTTAATTATTAATCATTTCATTCAAGCCAACCACCTACTGTAGTACAATGAAATAAACATACTGTACATTCAGTTTCTCTTTGGAGCCGATGGTGACCAGTTGTATGGTTAAGGAAGGATAACAATGTATGGATGTTCAACTTCTTTATTACAGCGACTTTTCTGTTGTAACGCCGTTATCAAGCAAGTGATGATCAGAATAAGGATGGAAAGGCATATGTACAAGTGTTAAGCATCAACTCATCAACATTCAGTCTCAATCCATTGTCTATACTACAGGCTTCACGGACTATAATCTGATCTTAAACATAACGTAGTTAACTAGCTTCCCCACGCTATTGTAGCCCTAGTTCCCACTGTAACATGACTCCCTCGCTCTATGTACGACGTATATATTGTTGTCCTTCGTTAGTGCTCCAGTTTCTTAAAGCCTCTAAAGGATGTCAGTTCTCTGGCTGGAAGCAGCTTCTCTTGAAAACATAAATCCATCTAGAATCTCTTCTCCTCAACATGTCACACAACCAATTCAACAACCGGATACTTCCAAGTATAGGGTATACTGAAATATCAACAAGAACAGGCCATCAAACACATTTCTGTAAATATGTTTACTATATGTATTTAAATGAGTGTTAATTGATCATATAAAGAATGTTGGTATTATTTGATACCCTGTCTGATGTCCTGTATTTATGACATTATGATGAAAACAAGCTCGCACAGAATTAGTATGATGTTTTTGATTACGATAAAATTCTTACACTAAGGAATGGCACCTAATACCAAAACAACGAAACCGGGAAGAATGTGCATACACGTATACGCACACCGCTGTATATAATCAGGATGCACGTGCATACACGTATACACACACTACTGTATGGAACCATTATGAATGTGCATGCACGAATACGCACACTGCTGTATGAAACAAAGAAGAATGTGCATGCCTGTATACGTTCACCGCTGTATGACATCAATATGAATGTGCATGCACGTATACACACACAGCTGTATGAAACCATTATAAATGTGCATGCACGCATACACACACTACTGTATGAAACCAATATGAATGTGCATGCACGTATACACACACTACTGTATGAAACCATTATGAATGTGCATGCACACATACACACACTCCTGTACGAAACCAGGATGAATGTGCATGCACGTATACTCATACTCCTGTATGAAACCAATATGAATGTGCTACACGCATACACACATACCTGTATGAATCCAATATAAATGTGCATGCACATATACACACACTCCTGTATGAAACCAGGATAAAAGTGCATGAACGTATAAACACATTCTTATATGAAAACAGGATGAATGTGTATGCACGTAAACACACACCCCTGCACGACATAAATATGAATGTGCATGCAGGTATACACACACAGCTGTATGAAACCAATATGAATGTGCATGCACGTATACACAAAATCGTTTATGAAACCAGGATGAATGTGCATGCACATATACACACTCAGCTGCATGAAACCAATATGAATGTGCATGCACGTATGCACACGCTCATGTATGAAAGCAATATGAATGTAGATGCTCGTATAGACACACTCCTGTATGAAACCACGATGAATGTGCATGCACGTATACGCACACCGCTGTATGAAACCAGGAAGAATGCGCATACATGTATACGTGCACCGCTGTAAGAAATCAATATGAATGTGCATGCACGTATT